AATAATTTTATTAGAATCAATCAAAGACTTTTTAATATAGTGCGTGAGGCGTGGCTTGAACACCTGACCTCCCACACAAATTCCACACTTTTCACCAGTTGGGCACTTCACCTTAATTAGTTATTTCTTTCACACATTATATTTATTGTATAAATATATAATAATTGGTAGCTCAAGTGTTTAGGTTTGATTATAAGGCTTCGATCTCAAAGCTTGGATCTTTTCTAGATTGAACTTAGGACAGTTTGATACCAAATCTTTGCCTATGCGAAGCAATTTTGATGAATCATATTTTAACCCTACTCCATGAGAATGTCATTTTGATTTTATCCATGTCCCTTCTTATGTTCTTGTGGGACAATTATGTGCCACGTAGATGCACGAAGTAACATACCACTATATATAGTGGTATATTATAAACAACATTCTATATGTCAGGAAATTTTGATGGTTTGTACCACTTAACATGATTTTATTTTCTAAGTCAAACAAAAGATACTTTTATGGTCGCTCGAATTTATTTGATATTGTACCCTTCACTAAATTTTTAGTGGAATTTTTTAGTAACCTCATTCGCACCATCGCCTGCGATAGGCACAGCATCGCCTCTGCTTACGAAGCAACTATGAAGCATGTGCAAACAGCAACGAAGCATGCATCATTATGCACGAAGCAGCGGCGAATTGCATGCCGTTGCACACGAAGCAGTAGCTATGTGAGCCATCGTCGCTACTTCATGCGCAGCGCGCAATCTATTTTTCTTTATCTCCATCTCCTCTGTTTTCTCTTCATCTGTTTGGTGTGGTGTTGATGGTTATGTTGCAACAGAGGTGAAGAAAATGGTAGATTTAAGAAGGTGGTGATAGTGATTGTTGATACAAGTTGTGATAGTGGTGTGGTGGTGGTGGAGACGCAATAGCGACAGCTAGGGGTTTGGGATTTTTTTTTATGGGGGTAGTGGTTGTGGTATAGTAGAGATGGTGAGGTGGTTTAGTGTGGTGCCGACAGTGGTAGTGGTGGTGCTAACAGTAGGAGTGAAGGTGACATTGGTGGTTCTAATGGTGTTCAAATATGGTGGCGGTGGTTTGATTGTGATTAATAAATTGATTAATTTGTGACAAATGAATAATATGTTACACATAAAATAGATAATTTGTGACCAATGTGACCTAAAAAAATGTGAGACTCCGACTTAATTTGTAACTATAACTTACAATTTGTTATGATGTGACCAATTAATTTGATAATTTGTGACATGAAATAAGTTGTGACCTATGAAATTTGTAATTTGTGAATAAGAAATAATATGTGACCTAATAATTTTAGAATTTGTGATCGATAAATAAATTGTGACCTATAAAATTTATGATTTGTGACCAATTAATTCTCGATAAATAAATTATAACTCATAAAATTTGTAATTTGTGATTAAGAAATATTACGTGACTTATTAATTTGAGAATTTGTGACTGATAAATAAATTGTGATCAATAAAATTTGTAATTTGTGATTGAGAAAAATGCGTAACTTATTAATTTCATAATTATGATCAATAAATAAGTTGTAACCTATAAAATTTATGATTTTGACGATCTATAATTATGAGTAGCACGTAAATGACACTATAAATTGTAATACTATGAACTTAATATATTTTAATTAATAAAATATTTTTAATTATCTATTAAATTAATAGGTTTTAATTATAGCCCGTAGAAATTAGTGGTGAATAAGTATATAATACTTGTGGATCCCATAAAATTTGAAAATAAAAATTGATTTGATCATTTGCTTTATTGTTTATAAACTATTTATAAACAATTGCCAAATATACGTGGTTTGTGTGTG